AAAAAACACTAATTATGTTATATAGTTTAACCGCTCGCATGAATGATGATGCTTTACTTGATCCTAATAGTAATGCTAATAATGTTAGTTTACTTAACACTAAGAATGATAATAATTCTCTAAACCCTTAAGTTGGAGGTGACAACCTCGCTAACACTCGCTAGGAGGTGACTTACCTCATCTAGTTCTTTAAGTCTTGGCACGGTTGTTACACATTCAAGCTTTCAAATCATGACCGGAGTGTTGAAGGTTTTTTAGGTTGCACAACTTAAACTATGACAAGAACAATAATAAGTCTTCAAAGTCCCAAAAGACAACAATATTTTATTTGCTTAAGCATTTAGCAACATCACTTAACTACTTTCTACAAATGGAATCCCCTAAATTATCATCTCTCAAACTATGATACCATTAACTATTAACATAGATGATGATTCAATGTCACATGTCCAACTCGAATGATAAGGAAAACATTCTTCAACATACACCCATAGTACGATTGTGCACAACCACCAATCGTCACTAACACCAACTATTTTATCATGTTGCTACTTCTAGTGATCAACGTTGCTATGTTACTAATGAGGACTTAGAGAAGTTCTTTAAAGAAAATTGACAAAATCTATGAGCGAGTTTAATTTCAAACTTTTTTATCCAATTTACATCATCACAATATCTTATTTGAAAGACTATGTGAGTCCTAAGTTTAAGTTTTTAGTAAAAACACAAGAAGACACCAAAGAGCATATCATAAAGTTTTTTGAGGCATTAGGTGTTCAAAACTTAGATGATGATTTGAAGTCGAAGAAAATTTTCAAGTTCTTGACTAAGAAAGCATATACTTGGTATATAAACCCGGCTTTTAACTAAGTCTAAACATAGATCACCATATATAAGTTATTTATTGAGAAGTTTTTCCTCTACCAATGAGAGGGTGACCATGCTTGACTTAAGCAGAGCATGTCAAAGCTTAAGAAAAAATTTATTAAAATATACTAAACGATTTAAAGACCATTCCTTGGACATTCAAATGGGTTTTGATGAGAAAAAACCGTTAAACTATATATCCGGAACATGTACAAAGAGTATAAGATATATATTGAGGATTTAGGTTTGATCATGTTTTATATCTTAGTGAAAAATGCTTCTTAGACCAACCAACAACTCAATTGCCATTGCAAGAAGGAATGACTTTACTCATGTTATTATTGGTATCAAGAAGGATGTTTTGATGAACGTCATCTAGCTAGATAAATAACTTAATAAAAGAATAAAAGGGACAATTATTAGGCCATCACTCTAAAAAGTAAATTTTCCACCGTTATTTTCTTGTATTATAGACACGGTATATGCTCTATTAGACCGATAGATGGATGATCAAGTTGTTATCCTTTTATAGATGAAGAAGCTCACATTCCAAAAAGACAAGGTAAATCTCAAGTATTGTGGATACAATAAATACATGGGACATTTGACGTAAAACCGTCGCCACTTGATATTTTTATTTTATGATAAACTCAACAAGAGGAACATCATCTTTGACAATAAAAATAGCGTGTAAGAAAATCTTATATCATTATATCAAAGCTTTTACAATGGCCAAATGAATGTCATTTCTCATAATCCAGCTAAGTTGGAGGAATAAGAGTTTAATATAAAAATTTACCAAGTTACTCCTAACCATACCATATCCTATGTGAAAGAGGTAGATGACAACGATGCCGTTATTATACGGTCTTTATTGAAGACTCTAAATTTTTGCAATTTTATCAATTTCTTAAACTTTGATGAAGAATTCAAAAAAGCAACTCGCGATGGCTATTTTGTCCGGATATCTAAGAGACATTATTCTGCTATTAACTATCTAGTAGGAGAAAAAACAAATAACAACAAGAATGATGTGCTTTTTATCGACCTTGATTATTATGTGAAGAAGATCAATAATAATTGTCTACTCTATATGAAGAGTAAAATAAATAATTGCCTCATTTGTTGGACTCTTATTGATAGTAATTTCTCTTTAAATCTCATGTCATTTACCATTTTGAGAGGTTTTTGTATTGACGAGAAATATGTGAATTGGAACCAACTACTCTTAAAGCCTTTAACAACACTTTTTTCCAAACTCAAGGCTATGTTGTGATTGACTTTTCAAATGGGACCTATACAATGCTAAAGCCATTTTTCATATCATCGGTGTTTCTATGTTCTATCACTTATTGATTGAAAGGCCTTTCTTACATGATTTTGATTTGATTTTTTCTTTCAAGCATTAGTGTGATGAATATTTTCATCCTTGGTGTCAAGGCACCATTTGAGTGTGATGAATTTTATTTTATGAAAGGATTGTTTTATAATAAGTTTGTAGTCGATAACCGAGTTTAGGGTTGGCGGACCAATAACGTTTTCTACTAAAGTAGTGGCGAGGCCGACCGTAAGAAGAAAGGCACTCGTAGAGGTGGCAAGAGTTGGAGGCATAATAACTATAATAACAACTATAATAGGTGGCTGAATCCATAGATCGATGCTACCATAATACTCATCTATTTTTTTCTAAGCAAATCCACGTATAATGAACTCGTTCTCAACACTTGTAACTCTTAAGTGTTTTCCTCATGATAAAAAAGAACAAGTTTCATGAAAGATTGGTTTCATCTTATAGTTAAAAAAAATCTATCTATCAACATATTTTTTTTAAAAAAGACTGAATGCGGGGGCATACGAGTGTTATACTCTTAAAAATTTGCTAAACTACCATCTTCTCTTTTTTTTTTACAGCAAAGCCATGTCCACTTATTCGAGTTGTGTGATGGCCGGACCATGAGCTTTTCATGTTCGGCTTTACTTTTTGATGGCAACATCATATTGATCCGGCCAAACTACACTATAGTCAAGCCGTGAGCTTTTTCTCGCTCGATTTGGAGATGGATGATGGATTTTGATATTTTAGATAAAATGCGAGTGCAGCAAAATTTGGCTCTAACCCGATCCAATGTCATCCCCGCCATCATTGAAGGTTTTTGAGGTATATATTGTTATCGTTATCATATATCGTAAAGTTTATATATCTCCCATAAGGCAATCATTTTTGCTTAACTTCGTATTTTAAATATTATTTTGGTAAATTTTTATTTAAAAATACTCGTGTTATATCTTAATAAAAAATATATTTTTTTTGTAATAAATTGAGTAATTGTTTGGCGGTTAAGGAGATTTGCTTCTTTCTTTTTTTTTTTCCTTGATTTTCTAGATTCAAACTTTAAGGCCAACACCTAAGGGAGTTTATCAAATTCGTTTGAACTCTAGGCCAATGTATAAGGTGTGGTATTAAGATTGCCCAAATAGAAATTTAATCTCAATTGACACGTACACTTGTTTCAGGATACCTTTATTATTGAAAAACGAAGTTAATGTTGTTAGACAAAAATACCTTATAGTGTTACGTTGGATTGATACTTTTCTACATCTTTGCAATATATACGTACGTATGTAAAAAGTCACTCTATTGTTTTTGTCTTAAGACCATCCTTATGCGCTATAGTTTCTTCATCATTACACTTTTCCATCGACTTGAATTACTAAACCCGTTAAAATCTAACATATGTGAGCACGAAATTTTAATTGATGTATATTTTGATCCTTAATTTTTAAATTTCTTACAAATATGTCTTTGATTGATTTTTTTTTATCATCATATTTTACAATAAATATAATTTAGTCCATGAATGATATTTTTTTCAATTAAATTCCTACATGTCTAATGGTAAATTTGGTCAAAATTTTCATATTATCTTACATATATGAAGTGTTTTTATTTTGAATTTGAATTTCTTTTCTCATGTTATTTTAAATATATTATTATTTAATAACCTAATAAAAATAATTCAATAATTACAAAACCAACATTATTGTATAAAAAAGATTCTTACAAACCAAATATATCAATTTAACTCTTTTACACTCGTACACAACTCAATCGATTCATCCTTACATAATAAAATCATAACGTATTGACGTATGTCCAAATAGTCGAAAAATGAATTTTATCTTAAAATAATAGCTCAGTCCATTAACTAGTTGATGATTTTTGTTTGATTGGATTGATCAATCGGATGTGATTATTTTTTTAATTATTGTGGTTGAGAGTATTGTGATTGTATTAAATTTTTGTTTTTTATAGTATCATACATCTATCACTCACGAAGTTTTGACTAAATTTATGATGTGACATGTTAGTACTTAATTGAAAAAAAGTATTTAGTGACTAAATTGTATTTATTTTAAAACACAATTACCAAAAAACTTTCAATTAAAGACTTATTTCTAAAAAAATAAAAATAAAGAAACTAAAGTAATTTTTTCAAAAACTTTTAAAGAGCAACAATACACCAACAAGAAATTTCATACTGGAACGTGTAGATTTTAATGGTATTAATAACATCAACTAAACAAAAAAAGTATAATAACGACGAAAAGTGACATACTGGAATGATATTGATAAAAATAGTAGAAAAATTCTTTAAATACAAAAGGAAGAGCACATAAATGTAAGAAAACATTAACCCGTAGAGCATTTGACTCAAAATTAATAATGTTATATTTACTTTGAGTAATGCTAACGACAGAAGGAGGGGGGGGGGATTAACTTCAAAAGATGCACACAAGTCGATAGATTGGTAGGATGTCCTAATCGTAAATTTCCAACCAGATAAATGGAAATTAATTACCCGCAGTGAACAAGAAGATGTACTATGCAACGACATGTAGGTTCTGAAGCACATGACATGTCGTTACTGAAAAATCCAAGCATAGTCACCAGTCACGCGGCTTGCGCGTGCATATATCATCTAGCCCAGTCCAGAAGAAACAAATTCTCCAGCAAATAAAGAAAGAACGCAAAATTTTGAATTTCTTTCTTCTCCACCAAGCTTACTCCTCCGTATTTATTTATACTAAGGAGACTGAAAAATCTCAAAACAGAAAAAGCAAAAAGAAACAAAATGGTGGGAGCGAACTTGAAAGCAGAAACAATGAAACTGATGGAGAAGAGAAGCGCTTTGGAAACTGAGATGAATGTCATCATCGAGCGCCTCTGTCAACCCGGCGGTCCTGGTCTCTCCGGCAATCTCGTCGATTCTGAGGTCAATTAATCATTTTCTTTCAGCATTTTTTTTTGTTTTGTATAAATTTCATGTTTTTAGGGTTTTAGGTTTCAGTAGAACCCGTAGCTCTCAAGATTTTTCTTCTTAAGATTGTTAAGCTGTGTGTTCTAATTTTTTTTTATAACAATTTAGGGATTTCCTCGCTCGGATATTGATATTCCAGTCGTTAGAGCCGAACGACACCGTCTTGCTGGTATACCCTTCCCTTTCCTTTTATTTTTTTCTTCGAAGAGAGTGATTAATATCTGTAGAGCTGATTTTTGTGTTTTGGTATACTGTTTTGTATCTATAGAGCTGCGAAGTGATCATAAGGAGATCACAGAGAAAATAAATCAGAATATACAAGTTCTGCATTCGGCAAGGCTTGCACCCAACTCTTCGTCCCCGAAAGATTCAGGTAGGTTCTGAAACTTCAATAGCATTGATTTTGGGAAATGTTATTAATTGAGCAATGTAACCAGGTGAAATGGAACTTTGTTTACTCGCACCTGATGTTTCTGTCGATTCTCATGATTATAATTGCATATTGGGCATGGAATTGCAATAGAAATACCAGCCTCGTGTGGATAAATCATGACAAGCTGTTAAGATAAAATGTTCATATTATCATTACAGAGGAGCAAAAAATAATTGTTTGATTAAATGATGATCGACCTTTTTTCTCGTGATTTTTAAAAGACACATTTTCAGTTGGCAGTCAATTTATGATTGTTTCCTGTTACTATCTCCTCGTTGAAGGGTTTTTGAAGTGTATATTTATTGCTATGATCTATCATAGAGTTTATGTCTCCCAAGAGGAAATCATCTCTACTCAACTTCTGTACGTTTAGATATTATCTTAACAAAATTTTGTTTAGAAATACTTGTGCTATATCTTGATAAAAGATTTGCTTCTTCTCTGTGATAAGTTACCTGACTAGTTTTTCCTCATTAATTTGCATGGAAATGATGGGGTGGCAAATAACCAAAACTCAGTGGTTGGCAATACTGTTCCATCTGCATCTTCCCACAATGTTGTTGTTACATATTCTCCCAGTTCCATGGATGTGGACATGATTGTTAGCATACCCTTCGCTGTGGTTGATGAAATTGCTGATGCATCCCCAACAGCAGAGGATGGTCTGCAACTTGGAGATCAGCTTGTTAAATTTGGTACCGTGGAATATCAAGTTGGCGAGAATCTCTTGCAAAAGCTTGCTTCTGAGGCTCAAGCAAATCAGGGTCATGCAGTGCCTGTGGTGGTTATGAGGCAAGGTGCTCCGATCAACTTGTCAGTGACACCTAGAGTGTGGCCAGGCAGGGGTCTACTGGGGTATGTCTGCCTTTTCTTCTTTTTGTACAATGCCATGCATTTCATGATTGAATCATTGTTGTCAATGTGTTCTATCCAAGAACGTTTCCCGTTACTAAAACTATTGGCATGTGCTACAGCTACAACCAGCTCCAAGATGAAAAATTCGACTAGCCTGAGTTGTTGTGTATAGGATTCTTAGCAGGCTTTTTGAAGTCATCTGTCATTTGTTTGTTGTAGTCTACAAACATTTTAGATTAGTTTGAGGAAAAGGTGTCCAATGGAAGGTTACAACATTGCAAAATTTGGATCATGACATCCTTAAAAAATGTGGATTTAAATGTGTGTGAAAGTTGATGCACAAATGATTCAGATGCGAATGAGGTACTCAGGATGATAATGCTGGGATATACTTGATTCATAACCTTGTTTGATTGACCATAAAATTCTTCATACATGCTGTGTGTTTGTCATTTTTTTTAGGATATGATTCTTTTGCAATATCGTTAGATTGTTTTAATAATTCTTGAGAACTATTATGGTGTTTTTTCTTTCTAAAATATCAAGTCAGCCATCATTTGCATGCTGGTTGCTTTTTAACTGGTCTTCTAGCAAGTCAAAACATGGCACTTCTTGGACCACTGCAACCTGGTCTTTGAATTGGGTTACTGCATTCTTTGAAGCCTACGCTGAAATCTTCTATGAGATCATGGTGTATGTCATCACAACCCTATTAATCATCCTATTATAATTCTGTGTATTATACATGAGCTTGCCTAACTTTTGATGGAGAAAAGCAGCTTCTTTGAAGGCTCCCTTAAGGATTCATAAGATGTTTAAACTTAATGTTGTGTCTGGCTGTCACGGCCATATAGGATTTCTTATCTTTTTCTACTATCAACTTACTTCTCCAATTTATTGGAGTCAAATTGAGATATAGGAGGAGGGGATTACCATTACTTAAGTTGTGTGTTACTTAGAAAAGTTGTAGCTAATTTATTTTTGAACATGTGTACCGATATATTGATCGTCACCCATATGCCCTGCTACTGCCCATTCATGAGGTTACTAATTCTTGTGTTTTGTTGATGCTTGCAGTTGCAGTTTCCGGATCTTATAACTGTTTCTGGGATAACTGGGAAGGTGGTTGGTTTTATTTGTCAGTTGCAAGACTCTGTTTCGGAGATGCATTTTGGCATTATAAATTGTTTCTTCAGTTTACAAGAATCGATATTGGTCTAGCAAGTTACCATGCACTCACAAATTTGTGTGACTTGAGCTTGTATCGAAGAATGTCTAAATAACTGCTTGGTGCCATTTCGATTATCGTCTGCCTTTTTCTCCTCTCGATATGTGTCTCTGTGTGTTTGGCTTGCGGTATGCTGGGGATTGGGGAGAGAGGGTGAGCTCCACTTTACGATATAAATTTTGAAGGCACAAACTCAATTAAGTTAGAGAATAGGTGCCCTCACACTCAAAGATCAGCTTTGCATTTCATGACATATGCCCATTTCTACTCGCTGATTAATAAACAATGACCACTTGCACCTGCCAAAAGACATGATAATGGTTTTATATGTGTTGGCAATGATGAGCAATAAACAGAAACGTCTCATGTATTTTGGTTCTATGATATTTCTCACCATATGCTTTTGGTTTTTGAAGTCTTCCATTTTCTGGCAAAAAATAAAGCAGCCTTATTTTCTTCTCTTCTTTTTGTTATGATAAACCTTCATGCTGGTCTCTAAACAGATGAGATCAAACTATGATTTTCTGTTCAGGACTTGGAAGGCAGAGGCTGTTTATTTGACGTGGACATGTCTTAGTGCTTCAATTAATTAATCGGATGAAAAATTGGGAGTTTCTCAAATGGAGAAGTGTAGAATTGACATGGTGGTTCCCTCTGCCTTTATTCATTGCCTTTGAAACATATTTTATGTCAGGTGGAGTGTACCATTGGATGAAAGGATGAAGGGATGAAGGAATGCTTTTACTTTCTTTCCTTTTCAATTCTTCTTTAACGAGCACGCTATCCATGCTTAAATCGATGTGATTAGAGTTTCTGAATTAGAGACACGAGGCTTGCAAGATCAGCTAACGTACTTTCTTTATTTGATTGCTATAATTAATGCTATTAATATTTTTAGACATTGGATGATGGTTTGGTTTTCTTTGCTACTGTCTATCTATCTATAGCGTTCTCTTTCCAATCGCAACTTCCATTTTTGGGGGGACTAAGTTAAGGTATATAAAGACTCTGCTTTAGGAGAAAAAAAAAAACAGTATATAATAAAGTTTACCCTAATTATTTATTGGACATTGGTATTACTTCGATTACAATACCTCTCTTTATGCTAATTGCTATGAGATATGGGCCGAGAAGTGTATAATGCTCGCCAGTACTCGTTACATCAGAAATCTGAAGGATGAAACCTCACTCCTCTCTTTGCTCTGCTTGCTTGGGGAAAGGTACAAGTTTTCCTTGTTGCTTTTAGTCTTTCTCTCCACTGTTTTCCCCTCTGGTTTACTACCTTCTCTGTACCACTGAATTAACGTAATCTAACCAGAAGAGAACGGCAGAGTAGATAGGAGGTTGATTGACCTTGCTATCCTTGCGGCATCTGCATGTCCCGTAACATCCACGTTTTCATGTTTCAATTGACGGTAATAATTTAGCATGTGCCATGCAGCAGCTTCTATAGTGACTAGGGTAAAATCAAGTCCAGTCACTTCCTCTAGATCTCCCAAAAAATCTGAAGGCAGATCTAATTTTTTTTTTTTTTTTTGCCGAAGAAAGAACCATGCCAATTTATTCCTCTCTTGATTGCCAAAATATACTACGCAGTGAATCCTGTTGAAATCTGGCATGAACAAAGAAATTATTGATTAACTTCAAGTCTAAAAGTTATTGCGGCCTGCTTTTGACTCCCTTGACTCTCTTTTGGCTTTTGCTCTTTTTGGTGATATAAGATGACCTTGCAACTTGTTGATCATGAGAATTAGGTGACAAAATAAGCCTGCTAGAAAGTTGCGGTGACAAGACAATAGAGAAGATAGCTCACCTAGGAATGCTTTTCTTGGATCAGTGAAAGGAATGTTGAAGCTGTTTGCTTTTGGTTAGTTGCAATGGACAGAAAAAGACCTCCCTTGCTGCCTGATCGTCTATCTACTCACATCTTCATAAAAGTTTGCCACGGCAAAAACCATGATGAGAAATTGCGAGTTTGTTGGTTTGTTTGCCATTTAGCTAAAAAATCATTCTCATGACTCAAACTGCTATTTGTATTTTTTCCTCTCTTTTATAGGTCTCGCATTATTATTAGTTCGAATCTCTACTGTGTATAAAACAAAAAACTGAAAGTTATCATTCTAAATTTTAATATTTGCATTAAATTAAGCCCTAGTAGAACCAAAGTTTTATTTTTGACTCATAAAGTAGATAGTATTTCAGTTTGCCAATAGGTGGAGGCTGTGGGGATTTCCTAAATTCCTAATCCTTTTCGTCTTGGATTTGAAGAGGATGTGATTTAAAAGATCAACTAAATCTTCAAACTTATTCCCAAAAATGAAATAATTCCACCCATTAACATAGAGTGGTGTCATGGGCATTTGCGTTTACTAAATATATATTTTAATTAAAAAAAATGTTAAACCAACGAGTTGTTAGCCCACAATAAGTGAATTGATTTTTATATGAATTTAATATGAGACGAATTTTTTTATTAATATATAAAGTTTAAATTCTGTTGAGAGAGATTAAGCTTTATTATTTTTGTCTCGAACAAAATTAGTTCTAACTATTTATAGTGGGATGAAAATATGTGAGAAAAATAAAAAATGTGTTAATTTATTATAAAGTTTTGGATGACAGAATAATAACAATTGCTACATAAATTTTTTCATAAAATTTATTCTCGGTTTAAGAAAGCTAATTTGAAATCTTGAACATTAAAACCCAAAAAAAAAACTATAAAAAAAAATGGGAAAGAAACTACAGGTTGCCGATTTTTAGCAACTTAGCATTGTAATTTAATTAATAGACAAAATGTGATCTTTGACAACCTTTTATTGTCCCTTTTTTTTTTTTTGAAAAAAAAAAATAGTGTGAGACACAAGAAAAGCACAAGATAATAACCGGAGACAGCAAGTCAATTACAGCTCTAAACCGACTGTCCCAGTCAACATCACTCCCTCACTAAACCAAGAAACCCCAATCTCTCTCTCACTCATTCGCTCTCTCTTTCTCTCTCTAAAAATTTATAGTGAGAGACTTCAATTCCCTTCCATAGTAGATCGCATTTTTTCTGCAACTTTCCCTTTCATTTTCTCAAGGGGAAAAAAAAAAGAAAATGAAAATTTCAAGCACTGTAGAGAAATGTGTCAGCTTTATTTACCATGTGGTGGTGGAGTGACTGAAACGACACAGTTTAAAAAACCCACCTTTTTGAGGGAGGTAGCAGTAGCTTTCTCTCTCTTTCTATCTCGTTTTTAACAATGCAGATTGGAATCTTTGTGTTTCGAGGCTCATTTTGAATATACAATGGAGGGCATTTTGTAGTTTTTTGGGGTTTTTTATTTTTTATTTTTTTGTAGTGTATAAAAATCCTGTCTTCGGTGAATTGTTGAAGTTATTTTGGTATGTTTTGAAGGGGTTACTTTTAAAAGTGAGTTTTCTAGGCTGATTTGAGGGAAAAAGTTAGGGGTTTTTGTGTGTTTGTTTGAGGTTCAGTGGAGTGAACCCTAGTGGTGGCTGAAGTGTAAATTTGTTAAAAAGGTAAGATCTTCTTTGGGAGCTTCAAGGTTTGGTTGGTGAATATGGGTACTGGAGGCAGAGAGCTGAAATGGGTTTGTGATAATTAAGCGTTTTGTGCTGGTTTGAGCTTCAGTTAGTTGGCAAAATGGGGGTCTTAGTGAATTCTCTTGATGGGTTGCTGGTGATTTTGTGTAATTTGAGGAGGATTTGAGAAACGAGGGGAACTTGGTAAATTTGGAAACTTTGGGTGGCTTTGAGGGAAAGAAAGTGAAGATCTCTTGAAAAACAGTGTTATATTGAAGGTGTTTGGACAATGTCAGGAGCTCCAAGAGTGAGGTCAATGAATGTGGCTGACTCTGAGGCCAGGCCTGTGTTAGGACCTACTGGAAACAATAAGGCAGGGCCATTGATGAGTGCTCGGAAACCTGCCTCAAAGCAATTGAGAAAGGTTGAGAAATCGCCTGAGGAGGTTAAATTTGGTGAAGAGAAGAAAGTCCTTACAGTGCCCACTGTCAGTAATTTATCCCCCAAATCACATTCCGGCAATGTTTCTTCAGTGCTTCGCCGCCATGAGCAGTTGTTGCATTCGAATTTGTCACTAAATGCTTCTTGTTCATCTGATGCTTCCACTGATTCATTTCATAGCCGAGCATCTACTGGGAGGCTGATTCGGTCAAATAGTGTAGGGACTAGAAGGAAGCAGTATGTTTCAAAGCCAAGAAGTGTTGCTTCTGATGGGGGTTTAGAATCTCCACCATCTTCTGATGGTTCACAGCCCAAGAAAAGTTGTGCCTGGGTGACACCAAATACTGGTATGCTCTCGCTTCTTTGATTTTAGGTTTTTTTTTCCAATGAAAGATGCAGTTGAATTCTGACAATAATAATATGTAGAGCCTCGCAAATTGTATATATTAACTGTTATTAGTTTGTTTTTCTGAACCGTATAGAAAGTCTATCAGAGATCTCATTTACGTCTAATGCTATGAATGTGGAAGATGTTTGAGTAGTTATTTTGAAAGTCAGTGCTGTTTTACATGCCTTTTAAGTTCCCAACCCAAAAATGAAGCTTATTTTGGAAGTGCTATTCTTAGTACACATATGGAGGCATGTGGCAAGGTGAGGCAGTTAGATGAGATGTGATGGTTATGATTGAAGAGATGATACAGGCCTGCTTTCTGCTGCTTCACTCAAATGTTGTTTCTAAAAGTTGGTTCAGACATTCAGTTACCAAGGTTTCTACCTGGAATTAACCTCATGAAAGTTGGTTCAATTACTCAGTTGAACATCATTTTATCAACTGGAGGTCAAAGTATGATTCTTATAGAACTGAGCTAAACCAGCCGAAAACTGGGCTTGATTCATTCTTGGATTGCCAAGTGCTCTCTGTGTTAACAAAACAGATATAATGTGATGTACTCCTAATTTGTAAAGCTTGCCAAATGTTCTTTGTAGTAGATTTTAAGAATTTGATGTTAACTATAGGGCCCATAGCTCTATAGCTAGTCATGTTTACTTTCATTCACGCTGGTTCATTGACTTGGACAGTTTGCTTTAGATTTGCAAGTTTCTGCCTTTTAATAAGAACTTTTTAATAGTAGATAAAGTGGATCGCGTATTTTTTCTGTTCTCCGCAAAAACATGGATTCTTAGCTGTATGTTTGTGCTTTCAGTTTTGTGTCTTAAGAGTAAATGTTTTGATTAAATAATGAAATTATGCAGTTTTTCATTCTCTTTTCCTCTCTGTTGTGTAATATATGCCTCATCTAATGTTTTTACTTATGTTGGGGTTAGAAAGAAATACACAAGTCTGTTAAATTGAAATTTCATTCTTGTATCATCGTTGCAAAAAAAGAAAGACATTGTGCACATGCTTTTTGTAAATATTGATAGGATTCTATTTCACATTTGATTGAGGTAAAGGAATTGCTGCATCATTTGTTACTTAAGCATGCCAATTTGCTAAATAGCATTGTCCACATGCTTTAGCTATGCTTATTTTAAATTTTATTGCTGACCAGTTTTCATATTGAAACCAGATCCATGCTATACCACTTTCCACGATGAAGAATGGGGAGTCCCTGTACACGATGACAGGTATGTTAATTGCAATATTGTTTCCATGTCTACTTGTTAAAAGATCTGTCATTCCTGATATGATGATCTGTCTTAACTGTTATTTGCTTTATACGTTTGTCTGCACGCAGGAAGTTGTTTGAGCTTCTTGTCCTTTCAGGTGCTTTGGCTGAACTTACTTGGCCTGCTATTCTAAGCAAAAGGCACATCTTTAGGTACTTTGCTTATCCAAGTTCTATATGTTCAATAAATGAACTCTGACCATCTGCATCACCTGTCTTTTTACTTGCAGTCTCTTCCTCCTTATATTAATTCTATTGCTAGATAGAGTTTATAAACAAGTTTTATTTGCAGGGAAGTTTTTGCAGATTTTGATCCAATTGCAGTCTCAAAATTTAATGAGAAGAAGATTATAGCACCTGGAAGCACTGCAACTTCTCTATTATCAGAACTTAAGCTCCGTGCTATCATTGAGAATGCACGCCAAATGTCCAAGGTAGATTTTCATTTTTTTACCATTATTTTATTCCGAGCAGCTGAAAGATATGCTTACATAGGGCACTGTAAATTGTGCTTGTGTGTGGAAGACAGAAAGAGTAGACTGGCTATCTAAGTAAAGATAAATTTATCTTGGTTTTTTATGTTACCCTGAGTTTAAGCTAAGTGTCAAAATCCTAACTTGTAGAATTCGTCATTGTCTTTGACAAGTGGGGTTTGTTTATGCTTCAATCTCCTAGTGCTGATTACCTCAATTGGATCAGTGCACTCATATCTGGGACCACTCGTGATGTTCTCTTATTTGTAGAAGTATTTAAATGGCATATAATGTGAAGTTAGTGATCATTTGATGAGTTTGGTTTGGTGAAACGTAGTTGAGTGGTGGTCCTGACTTCCCCTGGAATTTGTATGAACCATATAGGACAAACTATACTATTACAACCATACAGCTTGACCTTGGTATCTCTATCTTATATCAAGAGTTACTCATGCAACCTACTTATTCCTTTTCTTCAAGATGCCAGCTTGCTTGGTTGGTAAAACCCGCAAATGATCTGACCTGATGACTTCCAGTCATTAACCACTTAACTTTGTTAATGAAGTCAGCCCTGATTTCTTACTCCATATATTTTCCTTGATTATCATTTGCATCTAACTTTTTACAGGTTTTGTTGATTCCAGGTCATTGATGAGTTTGGATCATTTGACAAGTATATTTGGAGCTTTGTGAACTACAAGCCTATAGTTAGCAGATTTCGGTATCCTCGACAGGTTCCTGTGAAAATTCCCAAAGCAGATGCAATAAGCAAGGACCTAGTAAGAAGAGGATTCCGCAGCGTGGGGCCCACAGTCATCTACTCATTCATGCAGGCAGCGGGGATAACAAATGATCATCTTATTATTTGCTTCAGATTCCAGGAGTGTATAGACGCAGCAGAAGGGAAGGAAGAAAATGGCATCAAGTCTGAAGGTATAAAAACCAACAATGTCATGGAATCCAAAATATCCAAAGCTATTGATGAATTAAGTTTCTCCTCAGAATGATGTAAGTGGGACACTTGGATCACCAGGTTAAGTCATCAGTTTACCCTAGTAACTGATTCTCAGCTGCTCGTCGGGTAACAATGAAGATGCTTTTTTTTTTTTTAATGTATAAATTTTAATGAATTCTTATGCATATTACGGATTCCTAGATTGTAGATTACTAAAAACGAATTAAATCAACCGATGATTGCGCTGTAGGTGGGGCATGTTCGAGTGAGCCTTGAAAAGTTAATGTTGATTTTTTGTACAGTTGAAATAGCCAGTAACCAGAATCATGTTTTGAACCCAACTTGGACATTAGGAAGCAGAATTTACCATTTATCAGTATCATGCATGCCACCGTCGGATTCATGCTCGTGATCTTGCATGCATTGGGTGGACAGCCTCGCAAGTTGCTGGACAGCTCAATTCTTTTTAACTGATCTGTCAAGATCGACTCTAAACGGTGACATTAAGGGCACAAATTTGATGTTCCCTTAGTACAAGACATGTTTGTAGGGTATACCTGTTTCAGGATTTAAATTAAATTAAATGATGACAGAGGGATACCCACCGACGTGGATATCTTTCATGCCCCCAATCTAATTTATATGATCCTAGCAATCAGGGGAGAACTGAGACAATAATTGATGGATGCGAGTTCAGAAATCTTTCCAGTCTTCCCCTTTTTAAAATACTCTTTAGTCACTGTGTTCTGTGATCTTCTTAGCAAAGCTTTCAGATATTCTATGTACAAAATTTTTCTATAGATGATGTTTCCTTTTAAGTGTCCTCGGACCAATTTTGCATGTCGGCAGATCGAGACTAGGTACCTTCTTGATATTCTCGATGAAGTGTGCAACAGGACATCCATAATTGAACTAGCACATGAGACGATAACGTGAGAAACAACTCACTCACCGTCTGAGTGAACCAAAATCTCCACTCACTGTACAGATGTAGTCTCTTAGAAGTCAGCAAATTTAACCTGGAATTGGTTTAGCACTTTAGCCTCGCGCTTTCCCCATAATTGAAGAGCCTTTCGTGAACATGTGAAGCGAACCAAAATCTACATGGAAACAGCTCAACGCTATGTTGTTTGACGGAAAATAACTTTTATAAAAAAATCAATTATGAGAAAGTTATTTTTCAAAAAATTATTTATTTTTATTTTATTTTTAACTTTTGATAATTATATGAAAAAATTATTAGAAAATATGTTTCAATATTTGTTTGATATAGAAAAAAAAAATATATATATATATATATATATATTGAAATTGAATTGATAATTTAGTCTAAAAAATAATTTTACAAATTATTAGTTATCATTTGAAGATAATTATTCATTTAATTTTAAAATATTAATGTTGGAATAATTTGTGACTAATTATTGACTATAATTACCAATAAAATTTTACAACTGATTAAAATTAGTCACAAATTATTGATTTAGTTACAAATGAATAATATTAGAAAAATAATACATTTATTAATGAATTAATTAGTTTCAATTTTTTTCATAAATGATTGTAATTTTGTAATAATTATTTTCAATCAGTTAAGTATAGTTTAGGTGGTGTTTAAGATAATAGTAAAAAAAAAAGAAATAAATTATTAAAATATTTATTATAAAAATAATTTTAAAGTGTAAAAATGGTTTTTAAGAATTATAAATAAAAAAATCAAATAGTAGTAGAAATAGAGAAAAAATAATTTGATATATTTTAAATAAAAAGGAGACAGAAAAAAAATTGTTAAAATATATCGAGAAAGAGGTGAATAACGCAAGAGCAAAACAACTCGTGAGAAAAAGAAAAAATATTTTCCTCTTTTTTTACGCGGAAAACAATTTTCTAAAAATACTCTATTATTTTTTGTTGACTGAAAATCATTTTTTTGTTAACGTTTTTCTTAAACGCGAAACAAATATAAAAAAATAGGAAAAACAGATTCATGAGAGTGAAACTTGTTTTTTTTCCAAACAAACACAGCCTATATGAACTTCTGAACTTCGCTCTTGAGAGAGGGAAAAAAAATTTAACGAGGTAAATGCAATATCAAAATCCAAAGGATGCAGCCAACACAGAAAAAGTTAATCAGAAACATAGATCTGCAACATTAAATGGTTAGCGGTGACAACCATTTCATGAAGGATGGATCTTCGGTGCCCATAGCGGTAGCCTTCGATTCAATGCAATGCCGAGCCCCACAATTACCTCTTAAAATTGGCACATCACAATTACCTCTTAAAATTGGCACATCTACCTTATCTACCACTAGGGATTGAAGCCCTGCAAGAGCTAGAGCTTGGTTCTCAGGATGCTTCATTGACCAGCGATGCCATATATAATTATCAGATTAATCACTCGACAAATGGGCACCTTTAAAGCTGCCAACTACCTGTCTTCATAATCTGAAATTCACGACAGAAAAATGAGAAAGCTGCTCCAGAAATGAAGATATTGAAATGTGTCCCTATCAAGACAAGGAAGAATGGATGCCAACACATTCTCTGTTTTCCACTACTATTAGCCTGTTTCAAAGGAGTCGGGAGGGGGTACAACACCAAATATACAACTCTTGCTGAAAGACTGAAGGGAAGGAGAAAAAAAATAAGAGAAAAGAAAACACCCCCAAACTTGATAATTTATATTGAGAGCTACATGATTTTCATATAAATTATGGCCACCCACTGGTAATCTCTATACTGTACCCTAGACATAAAGGATCTTTTCAGCTTTTTCAGCAAGGTTTGATTTCAAATCCAATGCTCAGAAGAGTCCGAGCGGATTCTATTGCCTTCTCTTTCTCACCCCCAAGATCAAGGGCTTCGCCAGTTAATTCGCCTTCCTTGCCCACCGACCACTGGGTTGAAGTAACTTGCTTTTGCAATTTATCAGTTTTCTTAATCGGCAAGTTGCTCATGGAAGCAGGAGCGGCGGCAGCAACAAGGGGAGCACTTGGTGGGCCGTGTCGCTTCTTTGGTACAGGCATGTCATGGTCATGTACTCCCTTATATGTTATAATGACAGCATTTGTGTTATCTACTGCTGTTTCAATGTGCTTTCGGACAGGACATCCAGCAGAAGTGCATCTATAATAGTTCCTGCAAAATTCATTCAAGCGATAAATCAGAAGGATGATTCAATACACGAGCCAGTTTATATTTGGAAGTTACAACTCAGATTAAGGAAAGAAATGCATCATGTAAAGCTTTTGAACTGGTTATTATTCTGGAAGTTACCACCTCAATTTAGTGAGGATGAGATTCCATTAGGTCACAATTGCGATATTGTAACACAATAGAAATCCTTGATCACAGTCTAAAAAATCTGCTGTAAAGAATCATTTAAATACAGAGGGACTGATATGAGCATGCAAAAACAATGTTGTAAAGCATGCACAGCTAGGTGGTTTTAAGGGAGCTAACACAAAAGTATATCAATAAGCATAGACAAGTCATGATCTGCAGGAAGTAAGCACAGGACCAGTTTCTATCTGGCAATTGCCCTACTTTACCAGTCACTAACATGGCATGCTTTACAGGACATGTAGTTGCCAGGTTAAGAGTTAATTGCAATCCTGTCAATTATATGAGTGCTGGCCTGATTGTTGATTGATAAACAAACCTGAGTCAACATGCAAGATTAGTGCTTGAATTTTCTCATAGAAACAACTATGGACCTGAAATGATGTCGGGTACCAGAAAAAGTCCATAGTTTTTTTATTCTTCCAGATATGAAATACCATCTATTTTTGTATTAAAAATTTACCTTCTAACTTTTCTGAACATTCTTTTAATGGTACGATCGGACGTGCCATTTGCATGAAATCATAGCTAAGACCACATGTGTTGACCAAAAACCCTAAGATTCTTATAGAATTGTTATTTGAGCAAGTTAAAGATGCTACATCTTGTAAAGAAGGGATTGAGTGGGCCGAATTACATCCAAGGGATATGGAGCAAACAAAAAAACAAGGAGCAGAATCATCTTGCCATTTATAGTAGGAACAAATGCTGAGAATAATTGAGAGGAGTGAACATCTTTGCCCGAGTCCCAACCGAGCATGAAAATACCCTTGACTTTCAGAAATGAAAGTTCGCATCATAAATATCCATTTAAAGCTACGAGAAGGATAAAAAAGGTCATTTTAAGGAAGCAATCTCCCTCACGAAGTCCAGATTGTCCACATATAGTGGGAACCAGCTTATATCTTGAACATAGCAGTCCAAACCTTCAAGCCAACAATTCAGTGGATTTTACCTATACAAACACCAGAAGACCACCATCTTTGCATCTTAAAAGGAAATGATGCCATATTCAATGCACATGATACAAAAATCATAACTAGAATTCCTTTTCAGGATGCTAGTCATGAACTAGCTATATTCCAGGCTTACACTTTAATTGGCAGATAAGAAGGCATGCCATAAGGACATCCAAGCTGCATAATCCTACAAGAGACAATGCTTTAAGCAAGTCTCAAGCATGCCCCCTTTCTTCTTGGTTTTCAAGTATCATTTTTTTTTTTTTTCAGAATTAGAAGTGAAATCAACCAGTTAGAATTGAGGCTTACTTGATTCAAGTTGAGTTGCATATTTCACTTTTTAATTGGGGGTTTTGGATGGGTTTCAGGGTCCCTAACGAGCTTTACCACGAAGAGTGCTCTCCAATTAGATTAGAAGAGAAATCAGGGCGACCATCGATTATTAATGGCATTAAATTTGAAATCAAGTAAGGCTTGAAGATTTTTGGAGTTTCAAACTTTAGAATAAACTAGGACAATAAAACCAATGACAACAGCATCTAGAAAATGAGTCAGTCAAAATTGGGAGTGTTAACTGGCAAAGATCATGCCTTGATTGAGCAATATCTAACAGCACTATAGTGCAAAATGAAAGGAATTAATAATTCACCAATTTCTTAATGTATCACAAATGTCAGATCAATCATGATTGACAAATCCTTGGATAATACTACAACCCCCCTCCTCCGCTCCCTTCTTTTTTTTTTTCCCCTTCCAAGCATGAAAGCACTTGGAAGATTTGAAAACGGTGATATGGCTACACAAAATATGAATAGGTCAACTCCATCCCTTGAAACAGGAAGCATTCAGTTATTCCTTTACCTTAATTATTGTTTTTTTTTTCTAAATAGGAACTGAGGGCATTTCGGGTATAATAAGGAGTTAATGTCAAATCTTCAAACTTTTGGGTGTTCCATGTAATTTCATGATCCCTCAGGGAGGTATAGTAATTTACCCATATTTGAATATTTTTCCATCTGAAGTTTCCATGCCACCTCTTCGAATAGGTAAAGAACAGATCTTAGCAATCAACACATCTCACCCCACAAAATGGAAGATGAGCTGTTAGAACTCTGATGGCTTATCATTAGGATGGTACCAAAGTTGATGAACCAAGTCAACATCACATTAAACTAACAGCAGCGCCTCATGGGAATCTTCCTTGCCTTAATCCGACTATCCACAATCAGAAATCCTAGAAGAATAGTTGTTTACACAAGCACAACACTTTCAAAATCACATTTTCAGTTTTAAACCTCTCTTGCCAAGCAAACCCCCTTACTTTTCAAGCTCTTGAAAATAATCAAGCAAGTTTACCTCAAAATTTAGCATTTAAAAGTGGCTCATAATACAATTCTACTGCCCTTTATCTGCTCTGATCAAGAGAGCGACCTCAACGCTACTTCCTAATCCTCAAGTTCCAGCAAACTTCAGGCACCCATTGTGCTCTTTTGTCCTACCCCATTGAGAAAAGAAAAAGAATAAAAAAGGAAGAAGCAAAAGAATCACAAAAACAAAGAGGCAATCACTGCACTGTCATCCATATCAATCAGTGAAGCCATCTGGGTGGGGTTTCTGCAGAATATATCACAAATCCCAAATTCCTTCTTAACAACTATATTGAAAAAAGCGTGGAAAACACCCTACCAACTTCTTTCGGTTGTTTGGTACTATAAGTGCTCCAGTCATGTTACAAGGAATAAACTAGCACAAATACATATCTAGAGAACATGATTTTACGAGAAACACCCTGTATACAATAAGTGCTTCAGTCATTTAGAGGTTGGAAACTAATTTCACTCCTACCAAATCTAAAAGCACTTAAACATATATGCATCTGAAATTGGCCACGTGTTGGCCAAGAAAATGTCTGATAGCTAGGAAAAAAATGTACGATATTATGAAGGTTCAACCACACGTCATCAAACCAACTGAGCAGCTAGTACCATGAGCCAAAAAAAAAAAAAAAAAAAAGATAACAAATAAAAACTTTGCAATTCAAAACCACACTGCACTTTACTTAATATTGTCATATGATAAAAAATTATTTATTTATTAAATCAAAATGGCCACAAATACATAGAAAATTCAAGAAATAAACACGAACCTGGGATGAGGATTTCCCTTCACCATCTTCTGTCCATACTTGCGCCATCTATATCCATCACCTGAGATACCCACATCACCTGCTGCATGCACGACAAATTTAGGTTTTTTCCCGGGTTTTAGGACAGCTTTTGGACACTCTAAGTTTCCCTTCTTCAATCTGGTTAGAAATGAGCAAAAAACATTAAATCTCCAACACTGCCTTTACAGAAGAATAATAAGAAGTGTGAACATCACTAAGAAATAAAGTTTGCGGAAACCAAATCAATGGGATAGCTTGCCTTCGTTTTGGCTCAGGTTCACTGACATCCTCCTCTTTAATTTGAGTTTCCTTGTTCTCATCCGAGCTACTTGAACTCTGTCGTTTTCTTTCAGAAATTGTGGGTGTTTCTTGTACAGGTTCTATTGACAATGTGGCTGGTTCTGAATCCTTGAGCATTCTGACAGTATGCTCATTTACAGTAGTCTGCAAAATAGGCCCAACAGATAATCCACCCCTACTTTCCCCTGTGCTGTTATTCTTTCGAGGTGGATCATGACTGTGCATTCCTTTATTAACGATCTCTATAACATGGCCTGAGTGATCAGAACATTCGATCTTTTTAGCAAAACAGTCAGAATATGTGCACTTGTAATAACTTCGAGAACCTTTAGGACTCTTCACTTGCTTCTGACCATATTTCCGCCAGTTGTATCCATCTGGAATAGATGTCCTCGCTACAGGAACATTGAGAGTCTTCAGCTTGGCAGAACTTTGGTGCCCTGCTTCTGGTATACATACATTCTTAACCTCTGGGGAAGACAATCTTTTTTCTGGTGGAGTTGGACTTGGAGCAGACGATATAGGTTGTGTAACAGAAGTTGGTGACAGTTCTGACAAGGAAGTTGGACATACAGAAGGCTGAAGCTGATTTTGTGTCTGGGCTTTACTACTCTGGGGTGTTACGCTTACCAAAACTTCCTGGTGTGACAAACCTACTTGATCCTATGAAAAAAATGAAAGAAAATGCGTAACTTAAAAAACCATAGATTTGACAAACTTAAATTGTACCGAGCAGATAAAACTTGATGAATATGATCTAATGTTCTCGTTTATGGGAAATTTACAAGAGTATACATCCAGCAATTATTGGAAAGGCATAAAGTGCTCTCGCTCATCTATCGTGATGCTAGGCCAGTCCATGCGTCAAAAACATTGTTTATATATGATCCAACATATTTGAAATTGTTCTAAACCTTGCCAGCAGACAGAAACATAAGAAGAAAAACTACCAACTAACGTGAAACAGAAGAATTTTATCACTATTGTGATCTTGAAATCACTCAGGTTCGAAATTAAGTTCAAATTCGTCACAGGATTTACTAACTGACAAAGTTTTCGCCCCTTTTCCATTTCAGAGACAACCACAAGAGCCAGAAATGAAACTCTCTCCCAGTGGCATATAAACTTTCAGGTTTTACTCAAAAACAAAATTAAAATCATTGAAATTCTCTGTTAAAGCTTAAGTTGAGCCTCTACTTCCGGCCATTAAAGCCCTCACTAACAATCAATAATTTCCAGTGATAAAACCTAAACCCTCAATACAAATCCCTTCATCAACTCCTTAAACCCTAGTACAATAACCTTCCATCAACAATAACAAATTACATATCAATTCCCTAAAAAGTGGAATAAATAAATAAATAAATAAGCTTGAGCTCCTAACCTTGAATTCAGCTTCCACGTGCGTTTCCAATGCTGAATTTCCTTTCAAACCTGCCAGATCATCTACAGAAATAAAAAAAAAGACACAAACAAATAAATTATTATATGAAAAATAAAAACAAAACAAACCTACCTGCATACTGATCATTCTCCTTCGATAATATCGCCGTGGAAGAAGACGGCACCACCGTTAGGGTTTTCACTTGCTCCTCCCTCACCTCCTCTTCCATCTGCGAACTCGGTAACTCGGCATGTTGCTGCAACTCACTGAGTTGACTCTCCTCCTCCTCTTCCTCATCCTCTTCCTCATCGTCATTATAATCACCTTCTAATTCCTCTTCTTCTACTAAATTACCGTCGTTCTGTTCATTTCCTTGTCGTTTCTGTTCATTATTTTGTACTTCAAGAGCTTCTAAGCTCTCACTCTCCGCCATGGCCAATTGAGTAAAGTATGAAAACAGTTACAACTGCCTCTCTTTATACCGTACCGAGATTGAAGGCCGAAACCGACTTATCGGGTTTTTTTTTTTTAGAGAGAGAGAGAGAGGGGGGGCCGCTTTACTTTGCTTTGTAAGTGGGTGAGGGTATATGTGTCTTTGACCAAAATTGACTCAGGTGGTTTTTTTGATAAGCGAGTGGGGGTAACAAACGCCGTTCATTTCTCCGTTTTTTAGGCGAAGGTGACTTGACGGGTTCGTTAACGGCGCAGGTGGCCGTTTCTTGGTTGCGTCGCATCTTTGACTACCACATAGTACATAGTAGCTATCAATTAGATATACTTTTTTTTTAATTATAAAAAAATGGATATTCTTGTATATATGAATTTATTCTTTACCATTTGAAATAACCTTTGAAAATTGTTTTCTTTTTTTTTTTTAAATCAGCTTTTCCATATTAAAATAAATATTTTCTAATAAAATTTAACCGAATTTCAAACAGATATTCAAGCTTTTAATAGTTTATTTATAACAAAAAATTTCCTCCTAACCTCCTTTTAATTTCAAACCGGAGATGAGAAGATGAAAAGGGGGATATAAAATTCATTATTTTGTATGTTTTTGTTATTTTGTCGTGATCTTCGTATGGAATCTCTACGTAGGAGATGAGGAGTCGGTAGGATGGACGGAACTGATGAGATTGTGGTAGGGTTGGTTTAAATAATTACAGGGGACATGACATGATTCGGTACGTTCATTGACAGAGGAAGAAAAGAAGTATCACGTGTCCTTGGTTGGAATGAAGGAAGCATGGTCCTCCCAACAAGATGGGACATTTCTAGTTTTGGCAAATATTTTGCTACATTAAAGAACTTCTTCAAACATTAATTGCGTTTGCATGAAGTTCTAAATGGAAAAGGGAATGTTTTGGTGTTCTTATTTTTAATGAATCGTGAGAATTCATGGCAACAAGAATTTGTGTAAACAAGTTGAAATTCACTTTCTACGAAGGGCTTTTTTTCACTTTATTACCATTGATTCCCGTAATTGTAATTTTAGATAGAGTTAATCGGAAATTAGTATCTATAGTTTATCAAAATAAATTGATTAATTGGTATGATAAATAATTAACTTTTTTTTATTTTGCATCAATTAATAACTTAGTCATTCCATCTTTTCTCCATTAATAAAATTTAGATATATATATGTGTGTGTATTATAAAAAAAATGATAATAATAATATAATTGAAGAAAATGATTATAAGAAAATGAATTCATTATGAAATAAAGTGAATGCAAATGATAGAACTTCAAATAATTATTTCAATTTCTATAAAATGCATTTACACAAACTAATGAATAATCAAGCCTATTTATAAACTTCAAGATTAGAAGAAGAATTAAAATGGATTACGAACCATTAAAATGTGCATAAATAATAAAATCAATTGCATCACCATTTTAATTTCTCATATTAAATAGTGAATTGAATCACATGAATAGTGAGAATATGAAATGATTATGAACATTTATTATTTCATAATACTCCCCTTAAATGTCCATCGTACAAGTAACATGTCTCGTTAAATCCTTACCAGAAAAAATCCAATGGGAAAAAATCATAGTGAAGGAAAAAAGAGTACAATATTCCTTGTATAAATTAATCTTTATGCTCGGGCTCCCCTTATTAAAAACATCATTTAAAATCTTTAAGACGACATATTTCAATCTTGCGTACCGTTTTCTCAAAAGTTGTAGTAGGTAATGCCTTAGTGAATAAATCTACTCGAATTGTTACTTTAATGTACTCTTCCTTTAATTGAATTATGCAAGTAACATTATCTTCATATGATATTGTTGAAACTTTTTTACTCGGTAGATAAATTGCATGTCTCTTGGATATGATGAGTCATTGATTTTAGCCAAACATTTTCTTGACTTTTCCCATGAATTGGTATTTCGCATAGTTTAAATATGTAGTAGTTATAGTTTGCTTCATAAAACGTCATAATATAGTTGTATCCCAATGTGTAAATACACAATTCATTTATGATCGAGCTTTGTATGGATTAGATAAATAATCTGCATCTAGATGTCTTTGATTTATTAGAGTAAAATAAGCTCATATCAATTATTCCTCGAAGGTAACATAGTATATGTTTAATTCAATTCCAATGTCTCTATATTGGAGCGTAACTATATCTTGCTAATAAATTTATAGAAAATATTATATCGAGTTTGGTATTAGTAGCAAGATGCATTAATGCACCAATGACATTAAGACATGGTACTTCAAGATCAAGTAGTTTTTTGTTATCTTCTCGAGCCCGAAAGGGGTCTTTGTGGATGTAAGTGAACGAATTACAATTAAGCTAGTCAATGGATGAGCTTTATATAGAATTATTGTAAAACTTTTTCTATATAAATTGACCAATGAATAACAATTTCATTCTCTCGGTGCTTAAACTATAAGTTGAGATAAAATTTTATTTTTCAAGGTATTCATATCAAATTCTCTTTTTAGATAACTTATGGCACTTGAAATTTTTTCAGGAGTTTTAATAATATTTAAGTCATTAATATATACAATAATCATAAAAAAATTCCCTTTTCGAATAAAAATACATGAACAAATAGGGCTATTTTTATAACTTTTTTTTAATAAATATTTTTTAAGCGATTATACCATATGCACGAGAGGTTAGTAATGAAGAGTATATATTAAAAAATAAAAAATATATAAAAAGTATAGTATAAATTGAATTTCTAAAAACTAAAATACTAAAATAATCATTATAGATATCTTCATACTTTAATTGAATACATTTCTTAGAAATGTGTATTACATGCTTTAGACGTCTTAAGTCCTTCTATGTCTTTTATATAGATATCATTTTAAGTGAACAAATAAATGTTATCATATTTATTAAATGCTTGCATATGAAGTTTTTCATATATTTTTTTCAGAGCTAACAAGATAACGAAATATAATAGCGTTCATTACAAGAGAACACATCTTTTTATAGTCAATGTTAGGTCTTTGCAAAAACTCTTGTGTTGTAAGTCTTACATTATATCTCAAGATCTCATTTTTTTAATTTATTTTTGCATAACTATCTATTTGTATTTCATCGGCATAGCATCTTCATATGTTTTGACTATGAGTTCAAAAACTAATCATTTATAAGAAAATATAATTATGTCCGGATTGCTCTTTTCATTTAGATCAATTATCTTTAGTCGACATTCTTCAATAAATTTAGGATCATGATCCTTATTTTGATTCAAAATATTAATTGCAATATTATATGCCAAAATGTTATCGATAAATATTTCTTTTTGGTCTTATTTTCTCAATATATTGACATAATTTATCAAAGTTTCTTAATTGTTCTTAAGCATTTGGACTTCTTATGGAAGCCTATTATCGAAATATCTTAGATCGTTCGTGAATATTTTATTTTTTATATTTTCATCTTGACTATTTACCTTTTTTAGGATTTGTTTTTAGAATCGATCGGTATTTCACGTTTCACACGTGCTTTAGATTCATTTGCTATAACATTAATAAATTATCATTTTAGGACATGAATTCTAATATGAGCATTCTCAAAGGAAGCTTGCATTTTGGTTACTCTTTTTGGATATAAGAATATATTTGATGGTTGGTCTCGCAATACTTTATAAATAAATTATCTTCTAAACTTCTAATTTACATTGTTTTATACGAGGTTCAAGATTATGTAAAGATGGAGTGCTCATGTAATATCTTTTTCCAACATTTCTAACTACTTATTTTTGTTTATTCTCTCCTCTTAATATTGAAAAAAATATTTAATTAAAATGACAATTGGTAAATCGAGTCGTAAAAATATTCTTTATTCATGGTTCAAGATATTTAATAATCAAAGAGGATTCAAATCCAACATATATTTTCAATCTCCTTTAATGACCCATTTTAGTTCATTGTAGAGGAGCACAACGGATAGATACCGTACACTAAAAAATTCTTAAATGAAAAATATTTGACTTATGACCATTAACCAATTGAAGGGTGATAATTTCGATAACTTATGAGCCTTATCTAAATAAGTGTTGTTATATATAAGATTACATATATCCAAACATAAAGATGGAGTTATGTTTTTATAAATAATGATTTAGATATCAATTAAAACCTATTGATAAATGATTATGCTAAACCTTTCTTAGTATGAACATGAACAACAAGTTGTTTAACCTTTATTCTAATAATTAATCAATAGTCATTTAATATTTGAGAGATAAATTCACTAGTATTATCAAGGTGAATTTTTTAATAGCTTAATTTAGAATTATGTTCGTAATTAAATTATTTGAGCTAAAAATCTCAAAAACATCAAGTTTCAAGTATATAATAAGCACACACATGATTATCTTGTAGATGCATCTATTAAAATCATAAAATATCTAAATGATTCATATGATGGATGAATTGATCCATGTATATCACTTTGAATACATTTCAAAAATACTGAATATTCAATTTTAATTTTGCTTGGTGATGGTTTCATAATCAATTTGCCTTAAGAACATGGAAATTAAAATTTTTTTTTGGCTTTTTAATAGATGCCCATATGAAATTATAATAATTTTTTGGCTCATGACCATTAACCATTTGAAGAAGGACAATTTCGATAACTTATGGGCCTTATGCAAATAAGTGTTGCTACATGTAAGATTATATGTCTCCTAACACGAGAGATGGAGTTTTGTTTTTATAAATAATAATTTAGCTATCAATTGAAACCTTTTGATAAATGATTCTACTAAAATTTTCTTACTATGAGGAAGAACAACGAGTTGGTTCATCCTTTATTCTAATAACCAATCAATAATCATTTAATATTTGAGAGATACATTCACCAACGATTATCAAGGTGAATTTTTTCAATGGCTTAATTTAGAAATTATGCTTGTAATCGAATTAATCGAGCTAGCAATCTAAAAAATATCAA